AGAAAGTGCTAATGGTGAAAGCAGGCCTCAGTGTAGATGAGAAGCTGCAGAGGGAGCTCAGTTTACAAGGGAGGTCCCTGCTGGCACCGCCCAGAGAGGACACAGACCTGGAGGCTGCAGGGACAAAGGGAGAGGGTCTCAAGAATGGGAATGGAAAATAGGGACATTTCCTGCAGATCTGAACTTGGAAAAGTTACAAGCCCTACTTCCATAGGCACAGTGGCTATATCAATATGTTTACTCTCCCAGTCGAAAGAAAGATAACCTGAGTGCCTTTTTCTAAAATACTCTGAAGCGTCTTTCTACAGAAAACTAGGGAAATTTAAGTGGGTGGTAGGCCCTTAAAGAAGAAATGCAATCCTAACAAAAGACAGTATTTACACAGTCATAATAATACAAATTTCTCGTGTTGGTTTTGAGCTTTTTAAATCAATCTATAGAGAAAGTATTGAAAGCTTAATTAGGGGTATATAACTGTATTAGTTTTCTATTTATTGGTACTTTATCAAATTACCCCATACTTGTTGGCTTAAAACAGCACAAACTTATACTCTTATACTTCTGAAGGTCAGAAGTCTAAAATGGGTCTCACTGTGCTAAAATCAGGATGTAAGTGGGGCTGCCTTCACTTCTGGTGACTCTACGGAAGAATAGGTTTTCTCGCCTTTTTGACTTCTCTGGGTAGTCCACATTTCTGGGCTTGTGGCCCCATTTGTCATCTTTCAAGCCAGCTGTAAAATATCTTCTACTCATTTTCTTTTTGACTCTTGTCTCCCTCCCTCTCCTTTATAAGGACCCTCATGGTTACATTATGCCCACTTGAATAATTCAGAATAATCTATTTTGAAATCAGCTGATTAGGAACCTTAATCCCCACTTTCCATGTAACCTAACATGTTCACAGGTTCTAGGGAATAGAATGTGGACATCTTTGGGGGGCCACTATTCTCCCTACCACAAGAACTAAGTGTACATTTTAATCTGTTTTTACAATGAAAGCAAACTTTTAGTTGTCAGAAGTTGGAAGAAAGAAGGAGAGGATATGAGGACAGAAGGGTTGATAGATCAATAAAGACAGCTAACTATTTGATCCAGCTATCAAGACTTGAAGGAAAGGAGAGGTAGGGCCAATGGAAGTGAGATAAGCACTCATATACCTTAGAGTAGGGAATCAATGTTTCGTCTCTAAAGGTGAAAAACAGCAGTATAAGCTCATTATTCAGAACTATGGAGGGAACCATCAGAAGTAAAACATAAGTAGTTAAAATGAGAACTGCTTCTTTTCAGTATATACCTTTCTGTTATTTGATTTTTAAATTTTCTTTTCTTTCCTTCTTCCCTCCCTCCCTGCCTTTCTTCCTGCCTTCCTTCTCTCCTTACATCCTTCCTTCTAGATGCAAAGTAAAAAGGGAGTGGTCCGTGTAGTTATTATGCTTATAGACTCTGGAGCAAATTTGCTGCCTTGTTTCCAAATCTTGCTCTACCACTTACCAACTGTGTGACCCTGAGAAAATTATTTAATCTGTCTGAGCCTCGATTTCCTTATCTATAAACCTCAGATAATACCACCACCCACCTCAAACTGTTGTTCAAAGGTTAAGTGAGTTAATACATGCCCTCAGAGAAATGCTTTGCACATATTACATGCTCAGAAATTGATCATTATTAATTCTACCACCATACCCATGTATTACTTTGAAAAACAGTAAGAAAACAAGAACGACAATATCTTGTTGCATTATTTTCCTATGGCTGCCATAAGAAAGTACTACACCCTGGATGGGTTAAAACAAAGCAAATGTATTCTTTCACAGTTCTGGAGGCTGGAAGTCTGATATTGAGGTGTCAGCAGGGCTACACTCCCTCTGAAAATTGTAGGGAAATCCTTCCTTGCCTCTTCCTAGTTTCAAGTTGTTTTCTCGCAATCTTTGGTGTTCCTCAGCTTATAGAAGCATCACCCCAATCCCTGCCTTCATGTTCACATGGTGTTCTCCATGTGCATGCACATGCATGTGTATGTCTCTATGTCCAAATTTCCCCTTTTTATAAGGATACCAGTCATATTGGATTAGGGCCCACTCCACTGCAGTATGACCTTATCTTAACTCATTACATCTGCAGTGACCCTGTTTCCAAATAAGGTCACATTTTGTGGTACTGGGGGTTAGGACTTAAACATATCTTCAGGGGACACAATTCAACCCATGATACCTGTGTTGGCAAGGGTGAGGGGAAATTGGCATGCTCATCACTGATAATAGGAGTGGGAATTCTTGAACCTTTCAGAACAGCAGTTTGTCAATATGTATCAATTTTTTTAACGTGTCTACTTTCTGAAATAGCAATCTCAATATCCTGTCTGTATCTTAGGCAGATACTTACATAGGAGCAAAATGCTATAGGGAAAAGAAGGGTCTTTACAGCGTTGTTTATAGCATTAAAACACAGAATATAATAGTAGATGATTGTTTAAATAGATTGTGATCCATCTATATGAAGACATTACCAAAAAAGATACTATTTTATTGAGTTTCACAAAGAAATGCTACACTTCCTAGTGACAACAGGGATTATCATCATTGTCAACTATGCTCTGGCCTGACAGGAAGGCTTTTCACTTTTTTTTTAAGTAACCAAAACAAGTAATAATAAATGAAATGTGTGGTGTGTTCATTCTAATTGCTAAAATATTTTACTAAATCTCGTCTACATTTTACTTGGATTGTGTGCATTTACTGACATGAAAAACACATTTATAATATAAAATTAAATAAAAATTAGCTTATAAAACAGTATCAATACTATGGCCCCATTTATATAAAAACATATTTATACAGAAAATGCAAAGGGAACTGTCTTAAATACCAAATGTAAAATAATCAGTTAATGTACCAAAATCTTCTAAGATACTTCTGGAAAGTGGAAATAAAAAGTATTTTAATTTCCAATATTTGCTCCTCCATATATTTCTAATTTTCCTGTCATGAACGTGTATCTTCTGTGAGCTCAAGATGAGACCAACAGCAGTTTACCCAAATGAAGTGGGAGTGGGGTCTGATTGGGCAGCCAAGGATTGGTCTCAAGAGCTGATGCCAGGCGGGGCAGTGCCCAGGACAGACGGGGAGGTGAGAGGAGTGAACAGATACAGGGACTTCTCTTGCTTGCTCACTCCGAGGAGGAAATCCCCGCAGCAGCAAGGGCAGGCCCTCAGCCTCTAGGGCCCAGCTGTACAGTGCACAACTTTGGGCTATGAGATGCTGCAGCCTTGGCCTCCTCCTGGGGTCTCCTTCCTCTTTTCCCTTAAGTTGGGGTGGGGAAGGGAGGGGAAACCAGGCAGTGGCAGTGGTGGTGGCACCTCTGGAAGCAGGAGGCCAGCTTCTCTGCTCACACATGTAAGGGGTCCAGTGCAGACGTGAGGGGACAGGAGGGTGTGTGAGACCTACAAATGACTCCTCTCCCTCCTTGCTTGCACAGTCCCGGGATCAGGGTCCTGATGGCTGGCAGTACCTGTGCAGCCAGTGCAGGAAAAGTATGTCAATGCCCCTGCGTCACCTTCAACAGAGTAAGCCAGGGACGGGTCCCTGTCTGACCCTGCCCACACTCCCAGGGCTCTGAGCCCTGGCCACGCAGTGGCCCAGGTAAGCCAATGAATGATAGCCAGGAGCGCTCTTGGGGCACAGGGGCAGGGCCCAGGAGGCCCAGACACTCCAACCGCCAGCCACCTCTACTGCTTCTGCCAAAGCCAGGCACTTGACCCCAGCAGCAGTACTCACCCACTGGAGGGAGGGAATTCTTCAGATTGGGGCCAGCCGCACCTTGCCTGCCTGTGCCACTTGGACTGGTCCAGCCGGAGGCCTGCCATGACCCCAGGACCCCATGGAACAGCCCACCCACCCCCGCAGCCCTACACTCTCTATCCCTTCTGCATCTTACTCTGAACAGCTCTCAGCTTCCCTAACAGGCCATGCTCTCTCATACTTCTGAATTTTTGACATCTCAGTGTTGCCTTTGTCAAGAATACCCTTTTCCCACACTAGTTCCAGATCTCTAAATCCTGTTTGTCCTTCAATTCCATTTCAAATGTTGATTTTTTTTAGGCACCCTTCCCTGATTCTGAGGTGGAAGGAGAACAGGGGGCAGAGGAGATGACAGACTGTGACATCACAAGAGAGAACAGCGTATGTCTAGATAATGAGATAAAAGGACATATATAATTGTGGATTCACACAGACAAGTGTTGCTTGAAAATTAATGTTGAAAGCTTCTATCATTTCATAGCAAAAAAATATTATGTGATATGTGGGCCCCAGCATATACTCCATTTTGACGAACATTCTAAGGTTAGTTGAGATCCAGAATATATCGTTCCTCAGGCCCCTTGAACTGCTCAGGGGTCATTTCAAAATGGACAGACTTAAGGCCACAGAACAAAACTCTAGTTCCATTTGTCAATATCCAAGAGTTAGCCATTGATAAAACCTAGCAGGTTTTGCCAACCAAGCTTTTTTCTGAGTTACGTGATCCACTTAAGAAAATAATTCCATGGCTACTCCCTGGACATCCTGGCTGTGTGCTTGACATTTTCTGGGATTAGTTAATGTGCCACCTCAGCACGGGCTGAGTTAAGCAATTATTTTAATGCAATCTTTAGGAACAAAGCTCAGCTCTTTGCCCACCATGGCCTCCATCTGCTTTCTTTTCTCATACTCTAACCCTAATTCCCTTCACCTTCTGCACCACTCTCCAAGAGGCAGCAGGCAATTGTGGTTAAGAGGATGGTCTCGGGAGCCAATCTGACAAGTGTTCGTTTTCGTTTTGCCATTGCATAACTGTGACAAGGAGCAAATTACTGAACTTTTATATACCTCAGTTTTCTCATGATAATACTACCTTTGTCACAACATTGCTTTAAAGATTAAATAACTTATAAGCACTTAGAACAGTGACTGGCATGCGGTACAGGTTACAGAAATGTTTGTTAAATAAAATAAGTTAAATACCTGTACTAGACCGGATTATCTCTGTCCCAACAACATGGCCCAGCAGGTCATACTGGTTCAAGCGAGAACCATCCTGTGCCACTTCCACAGATTTGTTCTTTCCGAGAGTCCAAGAATAAACCACTTCAGCTGTTGTATAGGCATCTAAGGCAGAGAAGAGCCATTAAAGAGAAGTTGAAGGAAACAGAGAATGATTACCCTTGATACTAAACTCAAATGAGATTGAAATAAAACTTCCATCTTCAAAGAGTTCTGGGCATGTGGTCTGTCTTCAACTGAAGTACATCCATCCATCCATCCATCCATCCATCCATCCATCCATCCATCCATCCAATAAACTCTCATTGAATAGCTACTGTAGTATATGCTGTGTACATTGAAATGAACTCAAAGTGTTCTCATACTTCAGTGACTGTCTTCTAGACAGTCAATAAACTTTTTCTTCTGTTGGAAAGAAAGGGGAAAGAATGGCTAAAATATTATCTCATGTAGATGTCACAGACTCAAATGCCTACAGGAGCCATAGAGGTTGACATAATTTGGATATTTGGCCCCTGCAATTCTTATGTTAAAATGTGAACCCCAGTGTTGGAAGTGGGGCCCAGTGGGAAGTGTTTGAGTCACGGAGGCAGATCCCTCACAAATGGCTGGATGCCACCCCCCTCCAGTAATGAGTGAATTCTTGCTGTATTACTTCGTAGGCTATCTGATTGTTTTAAAGGAGCCTTGCACCTTCTTCTCTCTTTTGCTCCCTCTTTTCATGTGACACACTGGCTTGCTTTGCCTTTCACCATGAATGAAAGCTTCCTGATGTCCTTACAGAAACCAGATGCTGGCTCCATGCTTCTTGTACAGACCCCCATAACCGTGAACCAAATAAAACTCTTTTCTTTGTAATTTACCTAGCTTCAGGTATTCCTTCACAGAAAAGCAAAACAGACCAATACAGAGGTACCTTGAATAACTGAATCAGGCTAGCTGTAAGAAAAATAAATTGGCAGAAAAGTAATACAAATTTAATTAATTATGGGGTGAGCATATCAGAGAAAGCAAAAATTCAAACTAGTGATATTTTAAGTTAAAAAAGAAAAATTCCAAATTAAAATTACAATAATTAATTTTCTTTCATAACTTATTATCATTTTGATATGCAAACAAGACAACTGACACCTTTTTTTTTTTTTGCATCAGCATTAATGTCAAGGCTTGCATTTAGAATTCCAATGTCAAGTACAGAATTTGTATAGATGAACAGGGGTGTGAGTAAGGGAAATGGTGAGAAATGAGGTGGGGTTACTTAATGTTAGTCAGTATATTAAAGAAATGAGTTGATTCCTTCCCTGACGTGATTAACTCTTTCCACTGTGGATTTTATATCTAGGGTGAGTACTTGCCCTAACTCAGGCACCCAGGCTCATAAAGGGAAGCTGATCACATACTGTATACCCTTTTCCTTCAAGTTTTGAGCTGCCTGTTGTTCAAGTCAGAGGGGAAGAGGGGTTCCTCTACCTCATGGTGGCAACTACTATACCCCTAATATACTCTATTTAAACCTTTTACCACAAAGCAAATAATTTCTGGTGAATCTGCCAATAAACAAATATAAATGCTGGGTCCCTGCAAAACTTTGCAACATTGGATATACATTACACAAGTCTGACATTAACAGCTATTCATGGGTACTAATTGTGATCTGTTTACATTACACTTTTTAAAACTTTTTCAATACACCTAAATAAGCAATTTCCTGCTTTGTTTGTGATGAGTAGCACACTAAAAATTTCTCCAATCACATGAAAACTCTCATTGACATCATGAACAAATATTCATAACTCTATGGTATTTTTTATATCTATGCTGTCATACGCTGCAAAGGAAAATATCACAGGAAGTTTAACTTTTCCACATAACTTGCCTTGTATATAGTCTCAGTCATTTCTTCAACACAACAACAACAATATTTCTAGTTGGACACATACATTTCTGATGCAATTAATAGACTTTTTTTTACAAGTTTGGTACCTATGAAACATTTTGATGCCTATAAAGGTTTGTTGCTGAATGCATAACCACATTTTCTAGCAATAACATTTAGTGTATGCATTGAAGCACAAAACCTAACTTTCAATGTTTTTAATTAATATTTTCATTGTGCAGTTCTTCTATATAAAAATCATATGTTTTTTGTAATGAATAGCATAATTTTGATATATGAAGTTTTATGTTTTCAATAGAAGCATGCTTTGTGTGCTTAAAGATGGGAAAATATCTTTTATTTCTATAAGAAAATGTAAACTCTCCCATCTTGTTTAAAGTATAGCCATCTCAGCATGTCTTAATTAAAAAACAAAATTGATAGATATGGTACAAGAACTCTTTCACTTTCCTCATTTCTACTGGGAGCTCTTAATTCTCTTGTAAGTAAAACAAAAATGCAAGTGAGATGATTACTGGCAATTGATATTAGACTCCCTTTTCAGGGAGTGAGGTGAAAGTGATGGAGGTTATGAGGAAAGGGAAAGCATATCCTCATCTACAAGGGATAGTCACTATTTGGCTTCGACTGATTGAAGCCATGTAGGATTTGAGCCCAGTGTTGTCAATCTTCTGATTTTGTGAAATAATAAGCAAATGTGGAATTTTATGTGACATCTCCCAAATGTAAAATCTTAGCAAATAATTTTAAAAGTTGTAAACAATGTGTGGATCAAACAAATCACACCTGAAGCTCCCAATTTACAACCTGTGGTCTAGGGACTTTCTCCTATAGATGGCTATGATTCCTTATGATTCCACCTTAAAAACAAAGCATCCTCTTCTACTTATGGGATATCTAGGGCTCTCAGCTTGAATTGTGGACCTTTAAACTATTATCACCAAGAAGAAAGGGAAATCTTCTCAGAACCCTTCTCATACCCTTACCTAAAATTTATACTGATATTATATGAGGCAGTCATAATACTATCAGTGAAATATGAATTCATAAGACGCTTGTGCTCTTATTTTTCCCCAGAGTCTTTTATCTTTAGTACATATGCTTGGGGTACCCCTACTCCTAAGCAGGGAATCATCTGTATATGTCTTCTTACCTTTGCTGTTCAGATGGTTGTAACACTTTTTGTTTAAAGATAATGCCATGTTCTATCCAATCTACCCAAGATTTTGACAGTGTAAAATCTAAACAGGTTTGTTCATGGAAAGTGTAAGCAATGGAAGATTTTGTTTCCACCCCTAAAAAGGAAAATGAATTTCTTGCTGGAGCTCTTAACTTAAGCTAAGTACCTGGCACAGACAGCCCTGAATATTCACCCTGAAAATCCAAGCAGATCCTAACACAGATGTGACAATAAATTGTGCAGCTATCAGTATCTCAGAAAATTCACTTGGCCAGAGTAGCAACTTACTTTATGCAGAAAGCAATGATTTAATGTCTTTGGCAATAATATATGGGAATAGAGGGGTTTGTGGAGAAAAAAATACCCTCTTCTCATAAGATAGAGGGCAAAGCAGGAAAGACACGAGTAAGTGTAAGAAGAAAACAAAAACAAATTGAAAATTACTCGATCAAGTGTCTGCTTGGAGCCTGACCTGTACTGGTAAACAAAGTTTGTGAAGGCACAGTGGCCACCATCACATCAGGAAGCCCACAATTTACTTGGGGAGACAGAGAAAGCACAATGGCTGTGGTGCAATTTGGAATACAGGAGTATGCACACTAGTGAAATAAACACAAGTGTTAAGTAAAAACAGAGGTGAGCACTATTACTCCTGCTCAGAGTGGGGTGTTACAGAAGGATTCCTAAAGTAAATGATACTCAGAAGACGATGCCACCTTTAGGAGGTGAAAGGACATTCCTAGCAAAGAACAACATAGTCAAGGCAAAAAGTATGTGAGCACATGGAGTGGTAAAGGAATTAATAGTATCACTGGAGTCACAGGCCAGAAGGAAGCTTAATAAATAGCATAAAATATCCAAGTTAGTCTGGGTACAGTGGCTTATGCTGTAATCCCAGCACCTTGGAAGGCCAATGCAGGAGGATTGCATGGGGCCAAGAGTTTGAGAACAGCCTGGGCAACACAGAAAGAAACCGTCTCTGCAAAAAAAAAAAAAAAAAAAAAAAAAAAAAAAAAAATTAGCTGGGCATGGTGGCACATGCCTGTAGCCCCAGCTGCTCAGGAGGCTGAGGCAGGAGGATCAATTGAGCCCAGGGGTTCAACGCTACAGTGAGCAATGATCGAGCCACTGCACTCCAACCCAGGCAATAGAGCAAGGCCTTTGTCTCCAAAAAAAAAAAAAAAAAAAAGTCTGAATTGCCTACCCTAAGAAATAAGAGTTTTTGCAGTCCTGGATTTCTTGCTTTTATTATATAGTCCCCAGAAGAAACTTCTAATGGGCAAGTGGGAACCTCTGTTGGAATATGCACATGTGTGTACACACAACGAGTTGTGGACATGCCTAAAGGAGAAAGATGACATGACCAGATATAAGCTTGGGAAGGATCACCCTGGCTGTGATAGGGATGGCTGGTGGAAAAGAGTGAAACTGAAGCCAAGACGGTATTTAAAAGGTCATCACAATGCCTTTTGGTGTCAGTGACCCATAGGCATAATATACTAGACAGTGGGTTGAACTGAGTGGGACGGAGCGATTTCAGAAGTAGAAATGATTATAATTTTTGAGTTTTCATGTGGTTAAGAAAGGAAAAAGGACATTTAAAAAAGATTCTACATGATCCTAACATTGTAGCTTTTGCAAGTACATGGATAATGATGGAATTTATTCACCCACTGGGGAACAGAATTCTTCCCAGTTAGACCTCTTTCTGCTTTCCTTCCTCCATGGATTTGGGCTCCTTTAATTCCTCAGCTTCTCTCCTATAAAACTGCCCCCTCATCTCAATTACAATCATTGTACTTTCATGGAGGAGCTGGGGTAGGGTGGAGGGACTGGTTCCTGAAGAAAGGATATCTACCTGACATTTAGAACTTTTGCACTCGCTGAATGGGCCCCTCAATATATCTCATATGAGTTATAATGGCTAAAGCATCTCCTTGTCTTTAGTTGCTTAGCAAAATGCCTCCTTCTGTTATCTGAGCCTTGGTATGTAACACACCCCAGGAAAAATGGAAGTAACAAACAATC